GTGGCAAGTCCTTCGAGGTGGTGGACATCAGCGACTTCGATGGAGACGCTGAGCGAAAGGGCAAGGGGTGTGTGTATTTATATGTATGTATGTATGTATGTATGTATGAATGTATGTATGTATGAATGTATGTATGTATGTATGTATGTATGTATGTATGTGTGTATACGCCGGGCCATATGTACAGAGCAACATGTGTGTGTGTGTGTGCGCCCGTTTGATCCATTAGAAACGAAGTTCACGCGATCATACCACTTCCTTAACAGGACAGCACACACGATTCCAGAGGCAGAAGAAAGCGAAGCCCAATCCTCTTCCACAGGGGGGGGGGGGCGGGGGTTCTCCTTCCATCTGGACCACACACACGGATGCAGAAGAACCGCAGACCGAAGGCCACACGAGAAGGAAGGATGTCCCGTTCCACAGGGGGGGGGGGGAACATGTATGCCAGTGTATATAATTGCAAACAAACTGAACCATTGGCGGGGGGAGGAGGGGGGGAGGGGGGGGGGCCCGCCGGGGCGCAACCATATATACACACGTTTTCCCGTAAACCTTATATAGCTAAGCGGGGCTTCAGAATACTGTGGTGCGAAGCATAATATGGTAAAAAGTGTCGAGCCTGCACTGGAAGCCCGAAACCCTAGAATCCTCAAGCCCTAAAGCCGTAAAACCTGTGCGGTACCCAATGCTGTAAAGATTTATGATACGCTGGACGCGACGAAGGAGACAGCTCCTTGAGGGAACGTTCCGTGATCATGTCTGTCCTTTTCAAACAGAACGAAGAACAACAAACCCCCAGCCGTACTGCGGCAGATTCATGCAAGGACTGCCAGATATACATAAATATATATGTATATATATATATATGTGTGTGTATATATATATACTCTTATATGTATATATACTTACGAAATACACATCATATACAATTATATATATATATATATGTAGGTGTATATATGTTTTGTATAGAAAGTATACTGATACAATAAATGTGTGTATATATATATGCATATATGCATACATAGTATTACATTTCTCAATGTATATGTATACAAGCGGTGTAATCATATATATATATATATTATTTATTTATTTATTTATGCTGAATCCCCCCCACGACAGACCGCGGTACACATATAATGTGTTCTTGGTAGGTGACTCGGCCAAGATCGGCTCCTGTGACCGACCTGCACTAATCTTACACTCATCGTACGTAAGTAGCTAGAAACTCTTGTATCTATGAACAATCAAAAACACCATGAACGCAGGATGCACGCACCAGACGCGTGCATAAGTGAGCGTATAGTGGCGATGACGACGAATAGCGAAGCCAAAACAGATAATAGCGTAGCTCTGTTGCGCAAGTGCAAGAGTCACTGGTATTTGCGGTTCTTTCGAGCTCTTGCAACAACTTCTTCTGTTGTACTGCCCCATTGTCTCCGGGAAGCCCCCAGGGATTTGCCTAATATCTCTATTGATGCTAATGCTTCTATTTATACTCATGCGAATGTTATTTTAATACCAATATTAATAGAAGTAGCAATACTCCTACGAATACTAGTACACATACTCTTATGCTTGTTAATGACATACTATTACCACTACAAATACTGACATTGGTAATCTCTTGAATACTCAAGTTAATACTAGTAAGGATACGAATACTAACACTGACATTCAGGCTAATACTAATATGCATAATACGAATACCAATATTAACGATAATACTCTTACGAACACCAATAACCATAGTCATATTAATATTAACATGTATGGAAATACCAATACTAATACATACCGGCATATACTAACGTATATAAATAAACATACCGACATATTGAAACACGGATGTATTAACGCATTCATTAGTATTTTCACATACCGTCACACCACTAATATAACATACTTCTTTTTTCATGTTTAAATATACTAACATACCAATTTGCGAATATACAAATATACGAAAACTGTAATTTACAAGTATACTGGTACATTAACATACTACTATACCAACATACGGATATACTTATAAACTGTTTGGTTGTTATACGAATACAGTCGTATAAACATATACGAGTATACTGATATACGAACATACAAATATACGAATGTACTCATATACTCCTTTTCCAATATACTAACGTACTCATGCACCAATGTACTAATATATGAGTATACTGGTACATAAGTATACAGGTAGAATATTAATGTCTTGACATAGTGATCTGTTAATATACGAAGCCATTACTATACTGTATACTAATATATCAAAACTAATTCTAATATTAACACGATCTTCTGCGAATATTAACACTAGTATCAATCTCAGCATTAAGACTGATACTAATACTAATATTAGTATGAATACCAACACTGACATTGACACTGGCACTAACACTAACCCGAACACTGATTTATACTTACTACTATTACTATTCGTATTCAGACTTATACTAGGTACTAATATTAATACTGAACGAATATTCATACTGATATCAATACGTCACTACCACAAAACTAAACTAATGCTAACATTAACACGAATGATAGAATTAAGACTGCTACAAACAATGATACTAGTACTAAGATTAGAGGTAAAAGCAAGGCTGAGTCAAGACTAAGATGAAGACTAAGCCTAAGACTAAGATTAGGACTAGGAGCGTTGCATGAACGTGTAGATATTTCCGAAAATAGCAAAAAACACTTGGAAATTCCAAAAACTCCAAAACATCTGAATAACGGCCATATTACAAAAACACTAACTCCAAAAAAAAAAAATGTCAAAAAATCCAAGTTCCAAAAAATACATGCCCTATCTGGCAGAGTCGGTCCTTAACATAGGGAGAGAGTTTTGGAAATTTTGGTATTGAATTTGTAAAATTTGAGAGTTTCTGGAAACTTAGGGGGAGGAATGTTGGAAACTTTGGAACTGAGTTTGGGAGAGGTCATTGTCGCCCATCCGTTGACAGATTATGCCTGGGGACGGGCATGAAAGGGCATGGTCTGTCAAGGGGGGGGCGACCATACATATGTATATATATATACCGAAATAAATCTTGTATGCAGTATGTATTTCTGGAAAAAGAATACTGTATCGATTATTGTATACCAAAATATATATATATATATACACACATTATATACACATATCATGTATTGTTTAGGGTATATAAAGTATATGTGGAGTTTATTCAGATTTTTCGTACATGTGAGCATATGTGTAATGTGTAATTAGTGAAAGCATACATTTATAATTGGTGAAAACGTACAGCGCATACACAATGGATATGTTTTAATCTGTACGTATATATATATAAACGAAAACGGAAAAGGCGTGCATGTGTCTTTATGTACACACATAAAACTCTATGTGTATACATATACGTATATATATATATATATGTTACAATTTACCATACAGTAAAGCCGTACTAGATATATGCAGATACACTGAGTTGAAGTATATTTCATAATGCTATACTATGTTGTACTACATTACAGTACACTGTACTACGCTATGCTATGCGACATTTCTCGTGGCTTTGTCGTACTTGTCCGTTCTATTTTCAGATACTGCATTACTATTACGGTATAGCTATTACTACACTTTGTGATGCTATGGTATGCAAAAGCCATTTTGTTACGTGTTAGAAGTAGTATCATAATTACGTTGCGTTTTGTTACAACAAATCTTATAGTGTAGCAGACAATGAAGCACTGTGTCACAGTATGTCATACCATGTAACATTGTGCTGTCGTATATGGTGATATTGCGTACATACAATATATAGTGTATATTTCGAACTTAGATTAAATATCACATGATTCATCAAACATTGCGTAATATGTGCTGTCTGCTGTTAAATTTTGTTTATGTACTCATACATGCGCATATATATATATATATATATATGTATATGTATACATGTACATATCATATATGTATATATGCATGAGATAGACTATATGTGTTATCCGTACTTGCTTATATGCTACGGTGTGTCTATACATATGCATAAACTGGGCATTGTTATAACACAGATGCTTTTTCACGCATACGAGTTGATCAGCCCAACACTCCGCAAAGAGCACAAGCTCGCCGACTTGCATGCCTAGCCACGATGCCACAACGAGGCGCAGGAAAGCCATGGCTCACAGACTGCTGCTTACTCAGGCCACTGCAAAACTACTTCTCAACGTAATCTCAGAATCGCGGCGCCGGTTTCGGAGCAGATGCACAATCGACGTCACCAAACGACCACATCGAGCAAGATCGGGTCCTTGCTTGGTTGAGCGATTGCTCTTCCAAGGCCACCTGCTGCAGCAAGGCCTCCACCAGTCATTGTACGGGATTGAATCTAGGGAAAGATGAGGCCTTCAGCCTTCCGCCTAAAGCTCCGCGCTTTCGTGGACGTTTTGAGAGACTCAGCCCAGCAGCGTGTCCACAACGGAGACATGTCTGTCCCTTGACAGGCACGATCGGAGAAGCTTGTTCCATCCGACAAACCTTTCGCCGAAGAAAAACGCATCGCTGCATGACTCGACTACGACAACCGGCTTGGAGAGCCCCCGAAAGTTCTGGGCTAGATCTGAACAAGAACCCTGCTTTTGACATGATGACAACGGGATCCACAAGCTCAATAGCCACAGAAGATCTTTGCGGGAGCTCCGCCAAATAATCTGGCATATCTGGCCATTCATGCAAATTCAGGCCAGAAGCACAAAGAATGATTCGTCGCGAACTAGCTTGCCTATAAAGGCAGCTGGCATGAGGGACCTGTACAGAATTGAAAAGCATCAGGGGTCAAATCAGGAGGTTGCAGCTTGTCGTCGGTCCAGCACCCAGCAGATGCCAAGGAGGAGCGCCTGAGGATCCCCAACTGCCGTCGCTCTTGGCACATGCCTGGGACTATCGCTGGTTGTGAGAGACAGGGTGCAGTTGCTCCGGTCATGGCCAAGTGCAGCAGCTGCGTAGGAATCCAACCTTGCTGGAGATACTTGGTTCCAAAATTTGAAACCGGGTGCACAAACAGGCTCTGTGGGTACCGTCCTGTCCTGTCACTGTCGAATACCTTCTGCTCATCCCGAATTGCTAAAGGCGCTCCTGATCCTCGAGGCTCCAAGATGCCGCAGGGCAACCTATGCTGGACACGATCGGCATGGAGAGGAGCGTAAAGCTGGCCGCCCCAAAGTTGACGGCAGTGTCCTCGTGCTGACATCTCTTTCAACAAGCTTGATATTGGGTCAGGGCCAGTCAGCGGCCAGTCACCCGGGGCTGCTGAGATCTCCTTCCGGGCTTCTGTAAGAACGGAGCACTTCTGCCGTGAGACTGCCATAACTCATTCTAGGCATCCCATACTCCCCACTCCACGCTTCCATCGCCCAGCTGCTGTCACTGCCTGCAGCTTCGGCCCCTCCGAAGGGGAGTAGGACTTTGTAAGCAGCGCCGAGCCCCCAATGTACATAAAGTTCCATGCCTCAATCAAAGTAGCGGAAGAACTGCAGGCGTTCAAGTCAAACAGTATCATGAAATCATGTAAAGTGAAGATAGTCATGCCTGGGCTTAGGACTAAGAAGGCTGGACGAACACTCATCGGCGAGGGTTGTACGGTGCACTTGCCAGTGACGACCAGCAATACCAGCAGTCGCGGCAACGGCAACAGTCGCAGCAGCGGCAGCAACAGACAGTCCTCCGAAGACACATCTCATCAACTACAGTAAGATAAGTAGTGCAGCTTTGAGCTTCCGGGGGCAGCAGCAGCAGTACCACTGCTAAGAGTAGTGAAAAAAACATACGATGGGGCCAACAGCGGCAGAAACAGCAGAATAGCAGTAACTAGCAATGGTATTGGAAGCTGGAAGAGGGCGGCCCATGGGAGGGGGTGGCGGGGAGGAATCAAGCCCTGGCTTCGAAGGGACCAAAGCGCAGGCACGGGCACAGATTCCTGCGTGCGCAATCTTGCAGACTGTGACTACTGGCGAGTCGATGCCTCGAGTCTTGGAGACATCTATCGGCAGAACGATCTCTCTGTCCCTCGGAATCTCTGCACTTGTGTTGTGAAAAGCTGCAAAGCCCAGCAGCGCCATGCCGACCACAAAATACGGGAGGCTGGTGCCGAGGCAGAGCCTAAGCACGGCACAGCTTCCGAGACGCTCTAAGACGCTTTACATATTCCTGAACCCGGACGTGGCAGGCGCCGAGCCTATTTTTTGCAGCGCATGAACAGCTTCAGAACTCGGGTCGGGCTTGCAGCGCCATGCCAACTTAGCGCCTGCACCGAACCTGCGCTCGGTCCATGGTACTAACTTGCCACCGCAGGCACACCAAGGATGTTAAGGCAGCACAAAGGAGTCCACCCACAATGACTGGCTCGGAGCCCGCTCGTGCCATGGCGATACCAGTCAGCGGCGACGGTGCGAACATGCAAAACCTCAGATGCGACTGCGCTCAACCTCATCTCCCAGTCGAGGCACTACTGGTACTGGAAGGCCTTTAGGACTTTAGGCAGTGTCTGACGTAATGCCAATGCCACTTCCATTCTGAGGATGGCCCAACTAAGCTGAGCCAGCAGCAGGCTCACACAAGCTTGCAAAACAAAAGTTGCTGAGAATCGGTGCGGCACATGTGTCCCATCATGGTCAATGTGGATGCCGTGAAAGAATGAGAATAAACGTTCTGCATGACAGCAGGAGCTGGCGCCATAAGCACAAGCATGATGCAGTAGGAGGCAGTCAGCGTGACGATGGCAGCACCACACCGCGGCTGCAGTAAGATCCTCAAGAAGGTGGCACAGCCGGAAGCACAGAGAGAGATCTCAAGTCAGATTGTCAGGTGTTGACGATTAGCGGTATTATCAAGCTCTGGCTCTTCGAGAGGTGCCGCGGCTGGTCGGCAGTTGGGGCCTTTCCCTTCAGCTCCGCTCCCGGGAGCTCAACGAAGCTCAGCAACAGTGCAGCCAGCAGATTGAGAACGCCTCCGCACCTTGGCAACTCTGGTTACACCCTCAAACCGATCGATGCAACGGGGCACGGTTTTTTTCGACCCCTGA